CTGTGGTCGAGGCCTCAATGAAGCTACAAAGCAACCGTTGCCAATGATTGCCATGGCCGGGTGCCTACGCTTTCGGGCTTTGTGCCAGCTGCCTTGGGACCGGGTAAACAAAGCGCATTGAAAAATTGCCAGGAATAAAGTAAGCGACCAACTGCCGGACAGTGGGGCCCAAAAGCAGGCGCCCATGTCCGTGTGTTGACAGCTGTTGGAGGCGGAGAGTCATTTATATTTCTGTTACCCAGCCGGACTCGGGGCCTGTGCCAGGTCCTTGTCCAGCTCGGGCTCACTTTGAGCTATTCAATCAGCCGGACGAGCCGACCGACAACTCTTTCTCTCTGTGGTCAATGCCGGGAAAAAGGGGCACAAATTAGTGCGGACAATGCAGCCTGTCGGCATGCAAGCACCATCAATTAACTTGAATCCAGATCGAATATTTATCGCGCATACTCACTGCGACATTTCCATAAACCTAATGCAAATCGGAGCGGGTGTAATGCGAATTTATGGCCGCAAATTGTCAAAGCGAAAGTCTGACCAAATGAGCAGACGCATTTAAAAATTCTAAATGTGCGTCTGGCAATGAAAAATGTATTATTAGAGACCCCTCAATGAACCAAAGTCCCGTCTGACGTTAAGTCCGGCACTCGAAATAAGCCCAAATGAGTTATAACTAAATTATACAGAAATGAAATAATTTAAAGGAAGGTCATTCTATTGATACATTATTGATAAATGAAAAGATTATTTATTTTTTTCTTTATTTTGACAAAAAATAACAAGGGAAGTTCTCTATTACTTTTAACTGTTGTATTTTAAACATGAAAATCCTTGTTAAATAATTATTGTATTTGGTTAGAGAACATTATACCATTTTTTTGCACGCTTATAAAAATGTTCGTTATTTTATATGATTCATTTAAGTCAGATATACAATTTCAATATACAATTTTTTAGATACCATGAAAATTATATTAGAATGGATTTTGGATACTATTAAAGCTCAGTGGCCTGCCCATGGACCATCATAAATGCACACTGGCCGATTTTTGAATATGAAAAATGTATTTCGAAAAAATGCACTGCAAACCATTTTTAAAATTAGCACAATTTTCACAGAGAGTTGCAAAAGTTTGGCAACAAAAAAGCAAACAAAAAGTTAATTAAAACAAAAATTACGGCCAGTGGTCGGTGGTCGGTATGGCGGTATGGCGCAGCATTAGCAGTGCTGCCGAAAATGCAGCCGGAAAATCTGCGCGCCATCTAAAACAAAAATTAATTTTTGGGCCAAAGGCAGGGAAAGTTTTTATTTTGCTCTCGTTGTTGTTGTTTTGCCGGCCAGGCGAGAGCTTGCATTGTTTTGCATATTTTATGCGCCGGAAGTGTGTGCGGCCCCCAACAGCCAAGCACTCGCCATCATTCCTGCTGCCAATCTCAGCCCCATCCGGCGAAACTGGAAAAAATATATAGTATATGTGCAACACGCAAATTATGCAGCGCAAGGCGCATAAGACAAACTTTTGTTTTGCGGATTCGACAAGCGGCGGAATGAAAATTAATACGAAAGCCAAAATGGAGGCTCGCATACACATATCGGAGATTCACAACAGCATCAAAAACTGGAGCAGCAACGGTGTAATTAAAAATGCCAAAAAAAGGGGGAAAGCTAAAAGAGTCCCCTTACATTGGGATTGATATCAGACATGTTCTCAGTCCAAAAATTGGTCCATGGAAGAGTTAAACTGCAAGTAAAAAGGATAAACAAAGGGGAATTAATTGGAAGAACCAAATAATGAAATAATTTTAGAAAATATCACTAATTTGCAAATAAAATTACATAGGTAAATTCAAGATTTATAATACAATACACAAGATTAAGATGAATTTAAGGATTTGGAGCTGCAGTTTCAATTTCTACCTGAGCCGTCTTACTTATCGGCCAAGAGTTTTTTATCATTATTTCTGTATTTCTAATGTTTAATGACTAGTTTGCCTTTGGTTGCTACTTTAAGACGTATCCAAGCTTGATTACACACGATTATGAGGCTTTTGTATGGGCCTGCAATTAGGATCGAGGTGTGCATTTCTAGAGCCACGACCCCTTAAGAATCCCTCCAGTTTTACCAGTAATGTGATATCTAGTATATATATCCCTCTATCTAGTTCCCTCAGTATACTCCAAATTCATGAATAAATTTAAAGCCATCATTAAGAACACCAAAATAACCAACATACTAATTATCATACTTCCTGCAGATTTTAATGGTCATTAATAAAGTTTAATAATAAAGTTTCGATGGCCAATGTTTGTTTATTAAGTGTTTATGATTGAATGGCTCCAAAGATTTGACACAGTTTCAAAAACCCAATTTTTTCAAACGATTTTAATGTAATATAATCAAATATGTGTCTTTAAGTTTGTTTATTTTGTGGTTATGACTGAATGGCTGTAAAGGTTTAACTTAGTTTCAAAAATTTCAATTTTTTCAAACCACAGAGAGAACAAGAAAATAAACTTACTTCGGGATGGCGAAGCTTATATAGCCTTGCAGTTTGCAATTTATAAAATCAAATCGAAAATCAATCATAACAAAGCCTAAAAATATTCACACTCTTTGAATCGTTATTTATTCATATTATTATATGATATATATATATATATATTTTTTTTTTTTTTCAAATTAAAGTTTATAAAACTAATACTAAAGCCCAAAAAGCACTTTAATTCTGAAAGCACATTTTATTTTTATATTAGTTTTTTATTAGGTTAGTACATATAAATATATAAATACATATGCATACTCAATTTAAAACGTACAAAAGTAAAGTTTTACCAATTTTAGTAGTAATAATGGTAATAAAAGTGGTAATACAAATTGGCTAGATCGACTCGGCTGTTAATGGTGATCAAGAATATTTCAAAAGAATCCTCCGCAGAGTTACAACATTCAAACTAAAATTGTATTACCCTGCAAGGGTATACAAATAATAATTAGAGCTTTAATAGTAATATTTAAAATTTTAAGTTTTAAATTGAACCACCCGAGAAAGGTTACTTTCCTATGAAACGTAACGCGAAAAATGATAATATCATTTGACTTTCGTCTTGGAATGCAACATATGTAATACCGGCTGATGCAAACTGGTTTCCACCTTAGTGAGGATGCTGCAAAAAATAAGGAACTTATAAAATAAAATAAAAAAAAGGAATCATCTTATACCTGCTTTGGTTGTGTCGCTTTTGTTTTGCCGGCATCGGCTACTAAATATCAGAGTTGGTCAAACCAGCCCCCAGCCATCATCGGTTGTGCACTATATATACATACATACATACATATATATGTCGCCCACATCCACTTTGCACATTGGGGAAAGTATATTTTGTTGTATAATAATTTTGTTTGAAGTTGATATTTTAGTAAAACATTATTATGAAACTGCAGTTAGAAAAGTGCCAGCTTGCCAAAATTTTGATATATAATATAATATTTATTACATCCATATTCATACACATGTCCCTTGACTGTCATTACTGTTTATACTGTTTTATACCATACATAAATTTAGTTCTAATTTGAGGACGACCCAACCGTTTACAAGACTAAACAAATAAAATAAAATAGGTGCTGTTGTCTGTGATGTTTTCTTTTAAACTTATGGAGGGTATTTGTAAAAATTAATAAAATAAGAATAAGTTCAGTGTTTCCAGTTATTTTTGACTTTTACAAAAAAAATTTAAACGGAAATAAATAGTCTTTTAAAATTCCCTAACTAAACAATTTAAAGGTTATTTGCTGTCTGAATGATTAGATAAAATGAATTAAAGCTGATCATTTCGACCAAAACGATTGACTTTTGTCCACTGTGCATTCATCGATCTCGTTGACGCGGCGGGAGATTACCTCAGTCACTCGAGAAGACCGTACGTAGCACGACGCATCCGTATTTCGGCTATTTTCGTGATTAACTTCAAAGGAAGAATTACAAAATTAAGCAAAAAAATCTTGCTTTACTTTGTAAGGTGAATGTCACATACATAATTAGTGTTCAAATTAAAAGGGACACGGAAATCTTTTGTCTTTTTATACACCGATTGTTTTTGCTTGCGTAAACTAGGTCAAGTGCATTCTTTTTATGGCATTTATACCTAAGAAATTGTAAAATGTGCCCCAATATGAAGGAATAGTGATAAAAAGTGCCTGCAGAGAAACATATGCAAACGAAAAGTGCAGCAACGCAGTTTTAGAATAACTGGTAGCACCATTTGACACAGTTTGAAAGTAACAAGGTAAAAGTTTAAGTCTCATTTGTGAAATCTTTCGAGAAAAAACATTTTCTCCTTACAAAAGTTAGAAAATGTAAAACAATGTGACCTTAATTAATTATGACAAATTTCAATAGAAAAAATACATTTGCATCCATTTAGTTGGTTTAGTTAATAATAAAATTTTAAACTTTAATATGAACGTACCTACAACGCACGAAAGCCTGTAAAAAGATTGTATTATTACATTGCTCAGTGGCGCCAACCATTTGTTTTTAATGGCGCTGCTCTTTACACTAAAGACTGTGTGGTCTTTTAATTAATTTCATAATTATCAATCAGTCTATGTTTAATTTTTTATTGTAAAGTTAAAAACCATTACCGTCTTTTTTAAACTTAAATCTGAGCTTTCTATATTTCCGAGAATCTTAGCTAAATCCGTATTCTACATGCATGTTACATATGTTTTTCAGTATTTTGTATAGATGATTTCATGTCTTTACGTAAAAGATTACGTTCCTGTGTTCAATGCTCCCAAACTCATTCCTTTACGTCAAATTTAGCTGTTTTATGCAAACCAACTGACAATTCTGGAGTGTTTATTTAGATTATTATTTTGTTACAGTTACAGATAAGGTAAAAAAAATATGCCTAAAGATTAGGTGATATATGCAAATTATGCAAATTAAATTAAGTCAATTCATTAAGCAATTCCAAAATTTACGCTCTAGCTATTTTTTAGTATTTGGAAAGAATCGGCAACACTGAAAATGAGTCAGTGTCTACCTGTAAGTGCGAAGATGTCGAAGGCAAAGAAGGTATTGGATGAAGCCCGGGAAACGCAAAACCGGGAGTTGGACTTGGTGGACAAGGGCCTGACCTCCTTCGAGGAGCTGCCTGGATTGTGTAAGTATACAAGTTAAAAACTAACACTACGCTTAATGTAGAAGAGCAAGTTCCTTTGCTAAGGCAACACCCACGCAAAATGGGACCTCGCCCAAAACAATAAATTGATATATTTCTGTAGATTAGATACTTCCCAAGTTTTTTATTTAGTTAAACACTAGAGCGCAGATTAATTCTTTTATTTTATTAAGATAAAATCTTAGTTTTATTTTTTGTGATGACGCCAACATAGCTACGTACATACATATGTCTGTATGTATATTTGTATGTGTGTACATAAGTTCGTGAACATATGTTTATTCAGAGAACATAAAAAACGTAAACCTTTTGCACAGCATAACATAATAATCTTTGCCAACCAATAAGTCTCCAATTTAGTTATTTGTGGAGAAGTATAAAACATTTTTCAGTCTATTTATTTGTTTAGATTATTAAATTCAGTGAGAAAATAACAGTGCGCATGCCTATGCTAATGTATCCATCGCGCTCTAACACTTGGCGTCTATACTTGTTGCGTGCACAGTCAGCTGTTTACATTTAAACCCTGTGGGAAATTTGCATCAGATATTCAGTAATGTTTAAAAAGAACGTTTTTTTTAACTGAACATTTGAACATTTTTGTACGAATATTAGAAAATGAGAAATTATTTGAATCAAGTAAATTTGATGTACGCTTTAATTAGTAAAAAAACAACACATATAAACTAAAATGAAAAAAAAAAATTAACTGATAAAAGCTAAAAATTAATGAATAATTAACTATTAATTAATTAAAGTCTTAAATTAACTGCATGAAAAATCTTCTACGTTTGAATTAAATTTGCGATTTGAAATGTCTTTATAATTACCTAAATAACTAAATATTGCCCGAAATTCATATACGATAGTTAGCTATAATGCTTAAACAAGAAATATACATTTCGCCTTATGTCAAACTAAAATAAGATGCTGGAACATGATTTTCTTCACTTCGAACGTATGAAGTTCATACGATGAACTTTGAAATCGATACTGGAGAATCGATATGTTTATATGTTTATTCTCTTGATCATAGGCTTTAAATCCGTTTTTCAAATATTTATAAAATTGTTTTTAAATATTCATTGCAGTTAGCATGTCCAACATCACGCGTCTTACTCTTTCTCACAACAAAATTAGTGTGATTAGTCCGGGAATCGCCAATCTGCTGAATTTGGAAATTCTGAATCTCTCGAATAATCAACTGACCGAACTGCCTGTCTCGTTGTCTTCCATGCCCAAGCTACGCATCCTGAATGTGTCCATCAATCGGCTAATTAACCTGCCGAGAGGTTTTGGCGCTTTCCCCGTACTGGAGGTCCTTGATCTGTCCTACAACAATCTGAATGAACAGGTTTTGCCTGGCAACTTCTTTGGCATGGAGACACTGCGTGCCTTATATTTGGGCGACAACGATTTTGAGTACATACCGAAGGAGGTTGGTCAATTGAAAAACCTTCAGATCCTGGGATTGCGCGACAACGATCTCCTGGAGCTGCCCCGTGAAGTTGGAGACCTGGTGCGACTGAGGGAGCTGCACATTCAGAACAATAGGTTGCAGGTCTTGCCTCCGGAAATCTCCCAGCTGGATCTGCTAAGCAACAAATCAGTGATGAAGATGGAGGAGAATCCCTGGGTTAATCCCATTGCCGAGCAATATCTTCTGGGCATAAGCCATGTTATCGACTATCTCAAAACCGAGACATACAAAATGTGAGTGCTACATATTCGTCTGTATGATTATATCCAATTCATTCATTATTTTTCCCGATAGCATCTACAACCGGCACATGCAGGCTGGACGCAGCGGACCACCACCACCCAAGGCCGACAAGAGCAAGAAGGCCTCTCGGATACGTGCTTAATTGGAGAAGACTCATTTGCCATTGATAGAGTCTTCTATGAACCTGTGTTCGTCTTGTTCGTTTTTAACCAAACTGTTTTTGTATACTAATTTGTAAGTATTTGTAAACTAATAGGAATTTTTACAAAGTGCCTTAAACTTTTAATCGTCAACTAAATAAATAAATTTAAATTATTTAAAATGACTCTCCTGAAAGAATATAACTATGTGCTTTTTCTTTGGTTGGTCTTTAGTCTGGAAATTGATTTTAGACAAAGCTCTACCGCCACATTCTCAATATGCAGCAGGCATAAAAAAGAATTAAAAATAATACATAAATAAATCTTTACAGCCTTTTTCTTAGTTAAAGGTTTTTTCTTTTTTTAAATACTAATCCTTTTTGAAATTTAAAACCACTTATCGCCCCAATAAATGCCAACAAGTTGTTGTATTTTATAAAATAGTTGTTTTCTTGTTTTTATTATCATTTCTCATAATCATTCTTTTGTTTTAAGTTTTCCATAATCATTATTAATTAGTTTACTTAAAGTCATTTAATTAATTCTTTATTTGTTAAATTTAAATTAATAGTTAAATGTTTTTTGTTGTTGTTCTTTGTCTGCTACTTTGTTTGAGAAAAACCAAAGCTTAGACTTGCTTTGTTCGCTTTTGTTTGTTTCGTTAATCTGCATATTTCACTTGCCAATTTAAATTGAATACACAGACCTCATATATCAATTTATGTAAGTAAGTTTTGTTTGTAAACTTATTTTGCAATTGTATAATTTTCAATTTCAATGTATTCCACTTACTGTATACTTTTTAGTTTGTATGTATTTCATAGTTTATTTACAAGAGTTTGATGTTATTCATTAAGCAGAGTCTTGCAGGAATTATGTTAAAAATTAAGCTAACACAGATCACGGGATTGAATACATTTTATCAGCAGATCTCTTGAGTAGACAAACCATACAGAATTAAAATGAGAGAGTAAGTAAACCGAATGTTACAAATAAATACGCCTTTTCTTGGAGTTGTGCATCAGTCGATACTCTGTGTCTTGCAGTATTATTATCCTTTAGGCTTCCGAGTACAAAATACAGACAAAACAAAAAACATAAACTAGTAACTTAAGAGTCTGTACAACAAGCACACACAGACTCCGTACGCAGTACAATTACTTACATAAAAATACACTTCTATGTGGGCAGATATACATATACATACATACATGATAGATAACATTAAACGTAATCAGTGGCGGTCTTGCTACCAGCTTTCTAAAACATAAAGCTTTAAACCTAATACTAATCAAAATTGACAATAGAAAATTGTACCTAAGATAGTAAAAATACGTGAAATATATAAAAAATTAGTTACTTTGTTTGCTTCTTCTTTTTTTCTGCACAAGGAAAAGATGATCGGGAAACAATCAAAGCTACTGAAACAAAACACATTAAAAGGACTGAAAGATTCTTCTCGTATTTAAATTTAAAGTCTCCGTTTTTCGTGTAATATTTCTTTGTTTTACATATGTTATTTGTTTGGTTTTCATGAGTTTTTCTCTTTTGCTAGTTTACAAATGCAATTTTGACGGCTTTAATTAAACTGTTAGCCTTCGGTACAGATAAATACAATTTAAATGCTTTGCTGTTTCCGCTCTTCTCGATGACGCTCGCTTAATTAATTCGAACAGTTTTTATTTATTTTACTTTTTTTGTACAAAACACATTTTTTTGCAATATCAAATGTTTAATTAATTTTGTTGGCAAGGCATGAAGCCTTTAGAAATCTGACCACCGTATATAGAATGTTTTTCTTTTTGTTGTTGTTGTCATACATTAAACTTTAGTTTCCCTTGTATGTATTCATATTTGTGTGTTGTGTGGCTGCTGCGCTATTTAATATTTGTTGTGTAAGCCTAACAAATATATATACATACAAAATGCATATATTTGGGTTCAGTTTGTATGTGTATTATATTGCCTTTTTGTTTTAATGATTTATATTAATCATAATTTGCATTCGTATTTGCCTCTCAATTTATTTATTCAAAAATATCATTCACTTTTATCTTTTTTCTGTTTTATGAAATTGTCGCATTTTTTTCTCCTCCGTCTCATTTTGTTTTGTTCGTGTGGCTGCTTTTTTCCTTGTGGCATACAAACATGGTTTAAATAAAAATAATTAGCATAAAAATTACATTTACATTTAATTTGAGTTCATTTGATTTTTGTTGTTGTATTTGCTTTTGCTTTTTCTGCTGCTTTTGGGGCTGTGTTGTTGGCTGTTGCTGCTGCTGCTGCTGCTGCTTGATTCGTTTCGCCTTTGGCCGCGTTTTCGGCCGCTCCATCGCCGCTTTTGGCTGTCAAACCTTGCTGTTGCCATTGCTGGGCGCCCGCCCTGTGGACTCGTATTGGCCCCGCCCCAAGGCCGCATAGGCATCAGCATACGCATGTTGATCGTGTGGCTCTAGTTGCTGCTGCATGAGATGCTGCTGCTGCTGCTGTTCGTGCAACGATGTCGGCCGACTAAAGCTTACTTGTAGCTGCGGCGGGGCGACGCCTAGGGGGCAAATCAAATAGTAAAAGTCAGTAATTGCTGTGGTCTTTGTGGCATGTCAAATATTAGTTTTGTTAGTAAGTACTCATAATTTACACAAAGAACATGTGAAGGATTAAATAAAGTTTAAAAATTCTTTAAATGCAGGTAAGAATCGTGATTGGTGTTAAATTAAATTAAGGCTAACAATCGAATAATTATTATTTTCATTGCATTTTCCGTGTCGATTAAAGTGTTTAAAAAATGCAAAAGACTGAATGCAATACAAAGATTTACAAAGAACAACTTTGTTCCTATTTACTCTCAATCATACGGTTCTTTGTATCGAGATAAAAAACATTTAGACCCATCTCCCTGCTTATATTTATTTGTTTAATAAGATTAGTAACTTGTCAGATCATGTATTAGGAGATAATTAAAATATCCAAATGCTCATGCAATAACAAACACAACAACAGTTCAAAAACATATTCAAAAAACTAAAAGGAAGTCGGAGCAAATAACAAACATGGGGAAATCCAGAGAACGGACACATGCCAGGAGGAGGGAAGGATGCGAATACAAACAATTATAGGGGACAAAAAGTACGACCAAAACAATTAATGGGGGGTCAGTCACAAACCAAAACGGGGGGAGGAAATCGAATAAAAATGGGGTAAGAAAGAAAGTAAAGGTCATACCAATTGCATCGGTCAAATGGAATATCATTTTGGTTTTTATAGATATATATATTTTTTTTGTGTTTTTGGTGGTGGTAGGTGGGAAGCGACAACTCATGGATCGATGACTGGCAGCGGGCATTTTTTGGTTAGTCTTTCTGAGGTTCGGGCTCTCTGTCTTTCAATATTTTTAGTATGGCAATGTGATGTGATGTGACGTTTGTGGTCCGCTCCTAATAAACGATATTGCGGCGAACTGGCTTGACGGCAGCCTTATCCTTGCTGCTGCTGCGACTGCTGCTGGCCTGCGACTTGTGCGCCTTTGTGTCTTTGACCTTGCCGCTCTTCCCGCTCTTGTTCTTACTACTACTGCCCGCCCCTGAGCCCGAGCCCGTTACCGCCCCGCTGCTTGCGGCCGAGTTGGATGAGTTGGTGGTTGTGGTGGTGGAGGTGTTGTTGGTACGTGATGATCGGGACTTATTGCGTGGTGGAAGTTCTGAATTTGGGCGTATTTCGCAAACGAAAAGAAAAACGACAAATTAAATTCGTGGATAACTGGAGAACTGGAAAACAGAGGTGAGAAAACGGAGGAGGAGCAGTGTGTCTGGGGGGGCAAACTACCAACTCATAGCTCCATCTCTCGAGGGGAGGGGAAACACACACCTTTCGGCGTGTAGAACGCTTGCTGTTGTTGCTGCTGCTGCTGCGGCGAAAGCGCCGGTTGCTGTAGTTGCAACGGTTGTGGCTGTTGTTGCTGTTGTTGTGGTTGCTGCAATTGCAACTGCTGCTGCGCATTGGGCGGCGGCAATGGCAACGGCAGCTGGGCCCTTGCCACAACCCCACCGCCGCTCATGGCCGCCTGCACACCACCACCAATGGTACCCGGCAATGCCTGTTCGGCTCCATACCCGCCATGTGATCGCGATGCCCCGCTGGACGAGCCTCCGGCTGCTACTGCCGCTCCGGGCTGCGGCCTTCCGCTGCTCGTGGACCGTGTGCCGCGTCCATCGCTGCGCCGTGCCTGATTCGCTGCGGCATTTCGACTCGAGTGACTGCCGCCGGTGGGCAATGGGACGATTGAGTGGCCGCCCTGATGGCGATCCCATTCGTGCGGATGCGACTGGTGGTGCTGCGACCGGGAGCCGCCATGGCGACCGGCTCCTCCTCCACCTCCGGCTCCACTGCGACCATCTCCCCCGCGGGGATAGTGTTGCGCCTCGTGAGCCGGCGGTGGAATGCTGCGGGGTCCGGCTCCCCTCTGATGCGGGTGACGTTGCTAGAAAGGGTTTTTTAATTAATAATTTGTATGTTAAAGATCTTATAGTCTAAATCTTACCATTCTTCGCAACGTGTTCATGGGAGCTCTCAGTGTTTCGCTGATGCGTCGAGCTCTCCTCTTCTTGGGATTGGAACTGGGCGTGTGCACGGCACAGCACTTGATGAACGCTCCCATTACAACGATGAATGCGACACCCATCAGCACCACTAGATACCAGTTGCCGGTTATCCACTCGGCCACCGTAAGCAGAGTCTCCCGGTTCAGCAATAGATTCTTAAGCCGCACCAGCGGACCATCGGCATCCACTGCTCGGCACTTGAGGAACACATCGCAGTAACCCTGGAAGTTATCGCAGGGCGATCCCGGTTGCAGGCTTATTCCTCCCTTCTGGATATTATACTTGGCGGCAAACTCGCTGGTGCTGCGACAGGTGGATACATCGTTACCATCCTGACAGGCCAGATCGCACAGCTTGCGCTTGTCCACGTGCGGCAGCGTCGATGACGAGAGGAAGCACTTGGTCATGTTCCAGAGCAGGCAGGGTGAGCCACTGCATTCACCTCGGATGCACAGGGCTGTGCCATTGTTGCACATAGTCTTATCATCCCGATGTCGGGGCTCTGGACACTCGGCGGTGGTTCCATTGCAAGTGCTCGACCAGCTGCACTCCGTCTCCTCCTTGCACTTTTGGTGGTAACTAGTTGGCACGAAAGTACAGGAGTTGGCCAGGCAGCAAGGACCTTGCGAAGGCGAGCACTGTGTCTTGGCCCGTCGTGTGCATCCTTTGGCACTGGAGTTCAGAGACTGGTCGTACTCGCTGATCAGTCGCGGGTAGCAGCACTTATCCTTGCACTCGTCCTCGTTAAATCCACAGTCGCACTCCTCGCCAGACTCCACGATCTTGTTACCGCAGAATGCACCCTCAGAGGCCTTGAAGCAATCCCGCTTAGAGTTTCCAACCAGCACGTCCAGTACGTTGGAAATATTGCGAATCGAGCAAGGTGAGAATTTTGAGTTGTTTGGACGATCACCAGAAGTGGCACTGGCAAACATAATGTAGTTTCCATTGAGACCTCCTGGACGACACTCTTGCGGGTAATCATGCTACAAAATACGCAGAAGATTAATGGTTATTAATATGAAATATACATAGAGCTTGTATTTCAATTAAAAACTCCTTTTTAAATTTATATTAGAATACAAGTTGTATAATTAAAGTTCTTATAATAACAAGATGGCTTGTATATCTTGTTAGTTTAAGTCTTTGGTATATCTGCCACAGGACATCCTAAACAGATCATATCACAGCAAAGGTTTTTCTTATGACAAAAGTAAAGTAAATTTTATTTGAAAAAGGATTTTAGCTGCGGCATCTCATTACTTTGCATAACTATCCCATATCACAAGTTTGACAAACTTAAAATTCTCAGTAAAAGGAACTCGTGGTGTCACTAGGACAACAAATTTAATACAACCTATTTATCCAAGCAACTTACTGGTGATCCAAAGTTATGACCAATCTCGTGGGCCAGCGTCAGTTGGGATACTTTCGGGGGAACTCGACTATTGTAGTTGACAAATGTGATGATGCCTGTATTAAGAGATCGTTTTGTGCTCTGGTACTGTCCTCCAACCGTTTCCGTGTAAGTCTTGTACTTCTCGCAAATACCTCCAGAGGCTCCCGAAGCACTTGCCACCCAAGCCAGGCCCAAAGTTCCGCCAGTAAAGTCTCTGTTTAAAGAAAATATTTATGGTTTTACATCTGCAATAATTGAATCTAATAACTGAAGCTAACCTGTAGGTAAACACATAGGCCAGGCAAAAGTCAGAGTGATCCTCTAGCGAATGGAGATTCAAAAAGTTGGAGACATCCATATGCTCATTGCAGAACGCATTGTGTGGTCCATTGTAGGAATTACGGCAGGCCGAATCGTCATCAATTTTAATTCGTTGCACCTATAAAAATAAACAAATAATTTAATCGAATGCTAGTCATAATTTTATGTCTCAAATAGGTTTCTTGAACATATGTTATTGTTTGAATTCAAGCAGTTTTAAGTCCTTAGTAATATAAAGGATTAGGAAAAGTGTGATTTTGAATCAATAATTAATTAATTAATTAATGCCCCGAACAGGTACGTAAAATGCATGTAAAGTATCGAATTTTGCATAATTATTTTCAATTTTTTGTGATTGGTGTTCCAAGGTAGAAACCTTGGACAATAGGATACAGTGTCCTTTAAAACACATACTCCGCTGCGATGCATTTAACCTGCTACCAGCGGGTGGTTGCGGTTGGTTTGGAGTTCGGACTTTGAAAGGGGGTTTCCCGCCGCTTTGTCCTTAACTCTACATCATTGACTCGCCGGCGAATGATGCAGCCTTGTTGCAGGTGTGTGCCTGCGTGTTTACTTACCTCAAAGCGAATGTTGCGATGCTCTGTGCGTCCATCGAACTTTGTGTTGCGGTAAATGTAATTAACGGCCGTCACGTGATGTGCAATCAGCGATGTAATTTCCTCGCGCGTTTTCACATCCACCTCGTACTTGCGCCCACGATCATGCTGTTGACAAAAAACAATTTACACTGGTGAGTTGGTATTGACTAAATATTAATTTACTTTTAAAGTTTGAATATTCAGATCGTATGATATTTCTTTAAAGTTGGTTATATATGTTCAATCTTATAAATATTTTATACCCCAAAAAAAAGCAATCTTGCATGTCGATTTTGCTATAAAAACTAAAAACAGTTTCCCAACATTGGTTAGTTCCTAACTATTAGAAATACTGCTTGATTTAACTTTAGAAAAAGAAACATGCATATCTTGAATCCCTAAAAACATTGATACTTCTATGATGGGGATACTAACGATTCTATCACGATACTATTCTTCCATATAAAATTTCAGTATTAAGGGTATTTTTTAAATAAAACAATCTCATCCTCCTCCTTATCTTTGACATGATCTTTTTATGTTTTTGGAAACAAGTCGCAAAGAGTGTTTTTTAGGTTATTATTTACCTTAAATGCTTTTATTTTTTTTTAAGTTTAATAATATTTTTTTAGCAGTTTCTAGTTTTAATAATGGACTCAGAAGCTCACGCAAAATAGAATTTTGTATAGATTTTGAGGATGGATGAGTATATAAATAATTCTTATACTGAATAAATATTATTATAATACTATTAAATTACAAAATAAATAAAATTGGGGGAAACAATTAAAAGGCTTTAATCTTTAATCATTGACTTTTACTATTTAAACTAGCAACAAAAAATATGAAATCGCAGAAATTTCCATATTAAATTTTCATTTTAACATGTTATTACATACAAACATATGTATGTATATGGATTCTCAATTATTTGGTCACTGTTTTTAGGGCGTGACTAACGTTACCAAATCGACAGAAGTAATAAAATTCTTCTTTTAAATGTTTTATTTAAGAAAGTCCTGATTTCAAACCTCAAAAAAAAGAATATAAAGCAAAAGCATTATGGCAATCACAATTGTGGTTATTACGTGACAAGGTAGACATATTTAATTAACGCTATCGACTTGCATGAGCCACCGAGCCACCGCAGCGTAATAAAAATCACAAAACCGCAATGCGTTGGGTTAGCGGATATGCGATTGACATCTGTGCAAACGGCCCCCTCCCCCTTAATCCTTTCCCTCGCCAAAGCCAGACAACAAAACTACCTTGGCCCACTCCGAGCTGCTCCAGCCTAGGACGCCCCTCCTTCATCTAGAGCTCATCCAATCCAATCCAGGCGAAACTCCCACACAACAAACACTCTTCAAATATATTTGTATAAAAATGCAAATTCAGCTAAGCCCGTCGAATATTTCAGCCGAAGCTTGTATGGTTTTTCGGAGGGGGAAATTCCCCAAACAGCCGGATCCCAGCATCACTCCCATCTCCCGTCGATTCTGGCTCAAAAATCAAAATGCCTGAGGGGGCGCGAAAGACAAAGGCTAAAACGTGAATGAAAAGGAAAACGAATGGTGGAAAAAACGCGAAAAATGGGGGAAAACTGGGGAAAAGAGTGAGCGAAACAAATGCGCGAATTATGCAAAACTCATTGCAAATAAACACGCGAGAGCGAAAGAGAAGGCACGGCGATGGAGACAGGGACGAGGCGAGGCGAAGCGGAAGCGGAAATAAGGCTGGCACTCTGGTGACGAGGATGTTGACGTCGACATCATCTCGGCCACAATGCGAAAAAATGAGCGTAAACATAAAAGTGCGGCAAGAGAATTTACTTCAAATGGATAGGCTACAGTTGCGGTCAAAATAATAAATCAATCTGATTGATTTTTTCACCTTTTTATAAAAACTCTTAACGATCGAGTTAAATATTTTCTAATAATTCAAGCTAAATAATACAAAATACAAGTTTTGGTTATATTTTTTTGACCCATGGTGTATCTATGCCGAGTGAGATGGTTGTGGGTCATAATGGTTGATTGCATACGCTGTACGAGCCAAAGGAGGTCAGCTGATTGGATGATTGCTAGGATATGTTTGCTGTTTTTTGCAAATGCCCTAAAAAGTAGGCAGTTTTGTGGAATGCCACTAAGGATTTTTATGAGCGTACGAAAATCCAAAAACTAGGTGCAAAAGATCATGATTGATAGAATCATAGTATATAACTATTCTTAACTTAAGGATATTAATGCCTCAAAGAAGGAACTCTTTACTTAACTATAATTTTTTTTTAAATGTATTAAATAATATATAACATTATCTATGTACTTTAATAAAATACACTTTCTCCAATCAAAGACTTTAAATTACTTACTCTTCTTTTTTTGAAATTTAATTTTTGACGTCTTACCTTGAACCATCACAACTTTTAAAAGATTGCGTAGGCCACAAAATTTGTTGCACATACATATCTACTTAAAAAGAATGTACACACAAAAAAATAATAATAACTAAGGTGGCTACGTGCCCCTGATCCCGTGTTAATCTGGTAACTTTAGATTCGCCTTTGTTTTATGAGTACTTTACTTTCTAGCGAATTCTGTTGGCTCGTAAAAAAAATAACAAAATACAAAATTCATGAATACTGAGTTCAACTTTTGTGGGCGTGCGTGATGAAGGTGAGCTCTTCGTGGCAGATTTGTTTATCTTTTGGCATATTATGCGGAAAAAGTGACTTGCATAATATTCAAGTTCCTTTAAAATAGAATTGAAACCGAAAACTTAATTTTACATGAGTTAACTTAAGACTTGAATAAAGCTGAGCAGCCATTTAGTATCATTTAAATAGAAACAAATTAATTTATAATCAGAAACTCTACCTAAATAGTAAACTGTGTAATTGATATTTATATCTTAATTAAGAAATGCCTTGTGACTTACATCAGCAATTCCTTCGCGAATATGTCGCCAAATTAATGGATCCGTTTGAATGTAGAGCGAGCAGGTGTTCTTGTTATCCTCGCGGCCACGTCCTGGTCCACCCGAAGAGCCTCCACTTCCACCACCACCATCGGTGGCTCGACGCACTCGCTCGTGGACAAGCTGATGCCAGTCGGCCAGGTTCGCGGATGAGCCCAGGCGACTTCCGGTGGATGGATCGTAGAAGCCACCCTCGGCGAAGTTCGCCTCCTTCGAGTACTTCTGATGGGGGTACTTGAAGTCGTCATCGCCGCTGATGTACTTCTTTGGCGGATGCGGATGCGGATTCGGATTCAGATGCGGATGCGGATGGGGCTCTTGCTGGGGGGCGGACTTCTTGTGCAGCTGCTTCCGGTGGAGCTTCTGGTAGTCCTTTGACATCGGCTCCGGTAGCTCTTCGACGGCTGAATTTTGTATGTTCTCCATCCATTGTGAGACCTCGTCCGTAATGCCACAGCCGGCCACGTGACCTGCAAAGCCAGAACAAAGGGCGGAGAATGAATAAATGGAGAGGCAAGTACCCGTACATAAAACAAAAATGGTAAGAAGAAAGAGGAATGTTAATTTGCTGATGCAGTCCGGCATTTCGGGGTTCCCCGTTCCTTTTTGGAATTCAGCGGAAAAATAATTTATGACCTGCCCGAGAGTAAAGCCACAAAAAAATGTAATTAAAACGAGACCCGCACACAGATGTGAATGCGAAATGCCAGAATGTTAATGCAAATGCCAAAGTCAAATGTTTAAAATATAAATGGTGTAGCTTGAATCAAAAATAAAAAGTGGAAGCGTTGAGAAATCGCAGCGGAAAGGTGTTGCATACTCCTTTTCGCCGTGCTGCACTTTAAAAGTGTATCAACAATTATATTTACAGCTTTGCCAGGCTCCTGCTCCTGCTCCTGGCCGCCGGAGGCTGGTTCTTTGAAAAGCATTGTCTTGGCCAGCGGAAACCGTTAATAGCCCCGAGCCGGTAATGAAAATTTATTGTTTTATTGTTTAAGCGCAGTCACCGCCACGCGGTCTGCTCCTGCTGCCTTTTCCTACAACACACAGTTGGCTTTTATCCACAGTCCGAGGACGCATTTTGCACGCGATTCGCTTTTGCGATTGTCAACATTAAATAAACCCAAAAGGGGAATGAAATGGAATGCAATGCAATGCAACAGGGCAGGAAGGAGTGGTTCACATTTTTAAAAGCTCCAAGGGTTTCAATGCTCCAAGCCATTTACATTCATTTCCCGAATAATCTTCTGAGTTACGGCCAGTGCCCGAATTTGGGGCAGTGAAACGAACAAATTTATGCAAGTTATTACCTGAAGGTCTTTAATTTCGGTTTTACTTGAAAATTTTTAAAATTAGTCAACAGAATCTATAGCATACTTAATGGGGTTCCAACGTTTTCGGTTGCGTTTCTAGGCTTCCATCATTATCCGATTACCCGCTTCCTTATTAAGCACCGAAAATGAAATTTAAGTCTTATACTAAGGGATATCAACCTATAGAGTTTATTCCATAATCTTTAGATCTATATTCCTCCGATTAAATGTTTAAGAAACATTCACTCAACAGCAGACATAAGCAGATACAGATACTAGTCTAGCACATTCATCTGTTGCAATTTGAAATACACTCTCTGTGCGCTTTTCATTAATCATTTTTCATGCTATTCGCTTGGCTGCTACTTAAACACTTTCGTCCTGCCACATCCTTGCCCCCATCCTGCGCCTGGAGCACCCACTCAGCCAGCTAGCCAGCCAGAACCGAATGGCTGGAAAGTCATAACACAAGGCAACAAGGTTCCCCACTTCGCCGGCATTCTTCTTCTTCTTGGCACTGGCAACACCGAGGATGCTATTCGTCCTGGCGCCAGGACGAGGGCGAGGAGCAATGTCCAATGCCCAGCTGGCTCCCAGTGGCAGCGTTGCAGCTTTCAGTGGAGCTATAAATTTTTATTTGGCTGATGCTATTGTGTCAAGTAGTGAGGGGGATTCTGTTGCTTTTGCTTTTGCCGCTGCTATTACCATTATGCATTTGCTTATTCTTCTTCGTTTTCTTCGCGCTGGCGTTTTATTTACCCATTCCCAAACTGTTTGTCTTTATTACAAGTATTTTGGCGCTGTTGCCGTTCTTCCTCAGTGCAGGACGGCAACAACGCTGCCCGACGATCTATCTCTCGCCATATACGCCAAATTTTGTGCACTGTAACAACAATTAATCTACATAAATTAATTCAAATAAACGATAATTTAATCTATAAATCATGGAAGGAAATGTTTTGGCATCTCTCAATCTCAACCAAATTTAGACAACTTTAAGCATAACAGGATATTTAAAAATCATGAGTTCTTGATATTTTTTCATACATTCAAAAGGTATTTCTTAAATCTTGGCACCCTATAGAAAACCCTGAGACCCCGACAAAAAAAATGAAATAACTTCATTGAAAAAGTACCTGAAACCTATCTGACCGGAAAAGAAAGCCATCATCTAAAGCTATCGTTAAACAAATTGATTCTTCATCTTCCTTTAAATTTATCAAAAATCAATGTAATAACAAAGCCAACTTAATCGTAAAACACGCAAGGCACTCTACTTTAAACAGGGTTCGGAAAATAGGAAAAGGAAAATAGGAAATGTCATATGAAATCAGTTGTTCAAAAGGAGTCTCCTGGTTCCTGTCAATTTTAACTCACACATTTACAAATGAGACAACTAACCTTTTGCTTAACCGGGATTTTAACTAAAAACCATGCAAATATATTCTTTAGATAGGTTGGGAAGTCTCCTTGTGTGTTTTCAAACAAAAGACTGTTTCAATTTATTCAAATAGAATTAAGATGACTTAAGCGTGAGTTAGATTGAAGGCTGATTAGACAAACCTATTACAAATTTACTGTTTAGTATTTTCTTTTGATACAACAAGAAACTAAAGAAAAACAAACCATAACAAATGGGTACAATTACCTTTAGCTCTACAGTTTTAAGGAACATTTTTAAGTGCTACCTGTACAAAGTCCCTTGAGCGAGCCTTTGAAAAGTGAATCAGATTATTTAACTTCTCCAAGGATCGGTTAGAAACAGATATCTAAATATTTCCCAGTGCAGGCGGTTTGTCGGATGCAGGTGGAATATTTCCCGAGGAAAAGCCGCTGCCATAGACATAGAGGGGGGAGGGCCACTAAATACGTAAACCCTCGAGAAGCCAGTGAGGCAGCAGCGACCACAGCTTCCGTAAATGCTCTGCCCCTTGGAAAATCCACAGTGGCATGCAATTTGCATATCAAAGGCAGCCCCTCGAGTGTGCCGAGCTGCCTTCATGTCCCTCATTCTGTTTCATTTTGTTGCATGCCGCATCTTACTCCAATGACCCGTTTTTATTTCATTTTGCTGCAACGCCTTTGCCCAACTTTTCTTTTCGTTTTTCCCACTTTCAGGGCAGCTGTATTGTTGCAGTGGCTCTTGTTCGCCGAAGAAAATGTGGGGGCTGCTCTGTACTCAATCGTTATCTGATGCTGCGACGCCTACCCCAAGATGTTGTCTGATTTTTTGGTTTTTTATGCCAGGCCAGCTCGGTCCATTTGTATCTGCGGTCTGTAGGGGAGATCTGGAACCCCAGAGAACACCTCCACCTAAAGGCCTTTTCCCGTTTCCCAAGCCAATCAACCGTTGGGCATCGCCAACGCTTTAGAGTTCGCGCTTCTGTAGAGTTAAACCAAAATCATCAAGTTCTCTCTAGATAGAGGGGGTTCCCTGACTAAATATTTTTTACATTTCACAATTTCGCAACATTACCCCATATCGCAATACAGACAGTTAATAAAAATGTTTGCAACATCCTTGGAGTGAGGTTGAAGCATTTTCGACCAAAATCAGCAACCGAGTCAATATAGTCTTCTTCACCTTTATAATACCCTTTGAAAGAGTATCTATATATCTCTGAATGAACTTTGCACAAGCTTTATTTTTCTGTGACACATTCCGTGTTCCTACGGAGGACACTTCAATTTTACTTTGGCTTGACTGCGTCGAGATTTCAGCACAAAGATTAAAGTGCACTTTTGTGTTATCTTTACTGCAACCGGAGTTCAGATCAACTCACTTGCACTTGAACAGGATTTCTCTCGCTTCTTCGTACTTTTTCTTTTTCGCAGCCTCTTTGTATTATATTTATATTTTTATATTTTTTATATTTGTTATCCTTCATGTTGCGCCAATTGAACGTAAGACACGCGCCCGCTTGCTCGCTCGACTTATGATTTTTACAACTTCCGTTGCCAGCCAAGCTCAGGGCAGCTTCGGTTTTGTCGTCCTGGCAGTCCTCCGAAAAAAAGGAGCCAGTTTACGATACCGAAGATTAAAATACCTTGCAGTTGAGTTTATAACATTATAGTACTGAAAATTAATTTGGTAAAAAGGATACAGCTTAGCTTAAAAAGCATTAGGAAAAGACTTGTGTTTCAATAGATAATAAATACAGAATTTATCTATGAATTTAGTACTATTTTAAGTTGTACAAACACAAAATTTGTTCTTGAAAAATGAAATATAGGTAGGTTTTAACAGGACTTAATTTAAAGGAACAAGTTTACTATATCGTATTATATATTTTTTCAAATATTTCGAACCTATGCAACTTGCCCTTGTTTTTCGAGTACACTTGTTACAAAAAGAATGAAATAAGAGCGAAAGAAGGAAAAATTCAGCACGACTTGGAGACAAACGACTTTCAGACATGCAAGCGGCTTTTGTAGCCGGGTTTTTCCCATCAGCCCCCCTCCCAGGATCCAGGATTGCTTCCGCCCCCAACCAGTTGCCTCTCCCAATTATGGCCTGGGACCCATTCAGGCCACTTGTGGCCTTTACTCTCGGGCGTGTGTATGTGTGAGATGCGCAAGCAAAAATGAAAAATAATCCCAAATTCAATTGCAAATGAAATTGAGGGCGAAAGACGCCATAAATACAAGCACACACACACACCCAGGGGCACACAAAGAAGCATTCGAGTACTAACCCCCCTCACCAAGTCAGGAATCTCAACTCAAACTGAATCAGCACCCCAAAAGGGCAAATGCAGACGCCTTACACAATTTCAGCGCTTTAAAAACGAAAAAAAAAAAAAAGGGAATACAGAAAAGGGCATTTAACTGAATAAGAAGTACAATAAATATTTGAAAAACCAATGTTTGAAAGCAAAGTTGGAATCGAAACTTTGAATACCCTGCCAAAGGCAATTGTAACAATGTTACAAACTAATGAAAGAGATTTTTACTCTCAAAATGTCATTTTTTGTAAAATATATTAATCAGAAAAGATAATTAAATTATTTATTAACAAATCTGCTTCAAGATGCTCTTTTACGTACTCATCATCTTTTATATATGCATATTTTCCAATCTTAAACTTTAACGATTCCCTGACGAAATTAAAAAACAGGAAAAAGAGAAAACCCGCACACACACTCTCCCTCCTCTCT